CCTAGGGCAGAAAAGACTAGTGTGACCTTCGCTTAAGTGACAACCAAGGGGCCGTTGTTGGACACCAGCCATAAGGATTATAAAAGCAGGAATATGAAAAGAACATTAATGGATGAATTTAGCAATAAACTCCGTCATGAAGTTTATGAGAAATCATTGTTCGATGCAATATATCTTTGTATTTATTTTATATTTTTTTTTTTTTATCATGGTATACAATATTCTTTTAAGATTTTAAGTAATGAGTTTACCATTAATTATATTATAGGTTTTGTTTCGGCAATATCTTTCAGCTCTAGGCAGGTAGGAAATATCAACATAGCGTTTTCGCGCTGCTGAGGGATTTTCATCTCGGATCCGTTTACAGCTAGGGAGGCATTCAGCTCTGTAAAGGGATTCCTGGACAAAATAGGTCAAAGTGACCGGCCTGTTACGATCTGGATGATAAGTAGGGAGCATTCCGCCTTTGCGGCTGACTTGTTGACATTGCGAGAATTCCGATTTAGTAATTCCCAATTACTAACTTAGCATTTGAATTATTGTATAAGTAAATATCAAACAGAGTTACAAAAATAATTACAATTCAGAAGTTCTCAAGTAGAATTATATATCCTGACGTGAATCGTACTAGTCTGGCGGTAGAAAGAATGAAATTACTTTAGTGGATGATGGCACATACATAATAGAAGAGGCTGAGGCCTAACACATTTAAGTTTAAAGTGGAAATCTGTCAATTTGATCCAGTGGGTGACAGGGAAACTAGTGATATGATAGGAAGAGGGAAGGAGAAAAATGGATCAATAAATACACGAGGGTAAGACAGAGAGTGTGAAATAAGATTTTGTTGCAAGTCAGTCACACTTTCAAGGTCAGTGCTGTATTTTTCTTAATTAAATTAATTATATCATATCAAGTTGAATTGCTCTCAATTAATATTGAAAGTTCCTGGACAGTCAATTTCTGATTGATTTTTTTTTTTTTTTTTTTTTTTTTTTTTTTTTTTTTTTTTTTTTTTTTTTTTTTTTCTAGTGTGAACTAAACAGATACCCCATTCTGGGTCATGGCATGTATATATTAAAAGTCCATGCATGAGCCGTTTGAAATACATGGCCGTTACGGAGACCATTGGAATATAGGGTATTACTATTTTCACTATTTATCAGCTATTTCCTTACTTCATACTAGAATTAGCACAAAAAAGGGAATCAATTTTTTTTTTGTCTGATAGTAAAAAAAATGTGTTATCTGGATGCCCTACTTTTTTCTCCGTCTTTTTTATAGTGCCAAAGCTTGTATAGTTAAAAAAATATATATACTTTTCATAACCGATACATCAACAATTAAACATTACACACACAGCCTCACCTACAACAGAAATTTGATTACAACCGTGATAGAAAATGAACCGAAGCTATTCCTACAACCCGGCAACCATGGCGCGGAGGCCGTCATCATTTGCTATGAATCTGTTGTAATTCACAAATCACAAATAATAATCATATATTAGGGTGTTCATAGTTTTGCTTTTATATTTTATCTCTGTAACCAAAGACAAAAACATGATAATATTGATGAAAATTATACTTTTATTCAAGCATTGTACTTGATTTGCCAGGACTCCTCTGATTCATAACTACCTGGTAAGCCATGTCATGGTCTCGCGATTCGGCAAAGGCTATTTCATATATATCCATATATATGTATAGATTCATAACACTGCTCTTGATAGCTGAATAACCCATCCTTAATACACAGTGGAAATTAACTGTATTTATCATTGCTTAACTTATTTGCCTCTGACTGGCTGTTGTTTCCATACTCTCAAAGTCCAGAATCCAGGACTTTATGCGCCATGCAAAAAAGGTGCATTTCCCGAGGGGGTGGAACGTTTGTTCCGTCTGTTACGGGTAGTGCGAGGAGGGAGAGGGGAAGGTGTTGGGGTTGTAGTGGTGATTGGAGTATCTGTAGTAGAGATTGAAGTGTCTGGATTTAGGATGGCAAAAGAGTTTGACTGGGGAAGGTAGGAGGTAGAAGTGGGGGAGTTAGATGTAGGAGGGGTGGGTTTAGGAGAAGTGTTAGAATGAGCAGTATTACTGGAGTAAGGAGTAAGAGAGAATCTATTGTACACTCAAGATCATTAACTGTTCACTGGTTGAAGAGGAAGGCCAAAATTGAACCATCTGACATGGAGACTCACAGAGCTCTGGAACAACATTATCTTGGGAAAGGGAGCAAGCAAAAACAACATTCTTTTTTTCCTTTAATTCTTAAAATGTATATAAAATTGATGTAAGGACATGGATATAAAAAGTAAGTCAACAAAATCAAAAAGACAAAAATGTGAGATGGTTATTTGATTACTGTTTTAGAAACACCTCTTGAGGCATATCTTGAAGATCTGAATCACATTGGTTTCTGTTATACAAAATCCCCCCCAAAAAACATGTACATAATAATTGCCTTTTCTAATCACCTATCATGGCTCCCATATCTCAGAGAAAATTCATTACATTTTCTATGCCAAAACAGTCCTGGCACAAAATTAATTGTGAGTGAAATGAGATTATAGATAAAAAGTATAGTGTATATACCATTTATAAAAGAAACGTAAAATATAAATCTTTCATGTTACTGTAACAACAAAATATACAATGTAAGCTGCCAGAGTATACCCTAAATTGAATGAAAAGTGACTAGAACATATACCAAGAAGATTTGCAATTAATTACTAGTGTTACTTCTTCAACCATTATACATTTCAATTCACTTTGAAGGATTTAAGATTGTCTGAACAATACAAGACTAATAATGAAGGCAAATTTCCATGACTCAGAAAACTAAATACAATATAGAAGTAATCAAGGTACTCCAGAACAGGTAGCATCACTCCGCACTGATGAAAATCATAGGTGGCAACTACCAAGCTAAGCCCCAACTCTTCACCTTCATTGACTGCAAATATCAAGTTTTTTTTCTTGGTTTACTTTTTTATTATTTTTAAAAAACACTCATTACTGAACTATTTTAAAGAAAAGACACTGAAGAAATATTGCACAAACCAAACAGGGCAAAAAAGAGGCTGAGCTAATGACAACGCATTTACCCAATGAGGGTGCACCATAAGACATCAGGTATAACATGATACATAATTATTTAGACAAATTACTCAATATTGTTATAATTACTAAAAGTTTAAAACTCCACTCTTATATTTATAATAACAAAGTGTTCGATACCATAAACAGCCATCAGAATATTCAAAAGAATAGTCAATTTTATTTTTGGTTTTAATAGGTAAAAGGAGTGGTGCTACCAGTTTTTATGTGTACCTTTGATGTAATAAACAATAAAGTTCCCTTAGAAAATGGACATGCAAGAAATAAAACTGATTTAACAAAAGTTCCAGCCAAGGCCAGCTTGAATGGAATGCTGTTTGAGTAATACAAACTTATTTCATATCTGTTTAGGTAAAAAATCCAAATCACTTTGTAATAACAATAAAAAAAAAATGGATATGAAAAATCATAATCAAGTATAAAATTAAGATGCAATTTGGAATAAAAGCCTTGCATTATCCATAAGTGTTAATTTGCAACAATAATTATAATGATACCCATTTACAATTCAGTGAATTCTACAAATATGAAACATGAAAATATAACATTACATACTACTGTAATAACTCACATAATTATTACTAAATGTTAATATAATGAATTCATAAAATGTAATGTAAGGAATACATTAGATAATAATTTTTAATCATATGACACTTACTATCTGATAAATACTAAAACTAACAGTAATAAAAACAATGATGATAATATTAATAATAAATCATATGAAAGTAAAATCCTGTACATACTAATGGATGTTGGAGATATCACTAAAAAGAAATTCTGACAAGGTGTTCATATAATGGACCGTTTGATTCCATCCTACATGTATGTACCAACACATTTACAGTGTCTGTCTATTATGCACATGAGTCAAGGTGTGTAGATGTCTGAATACAAGTTCAAATGTGACACTGAATTATACAAATATTGTCATAAAATTTCTCTTTGTGTCAAATTCTTAGCTGAAAGAGGGTAGATGTCAGTATTAACCCTCTTCGATAACATCTACAGATGAAGCAAGATGCCATTCATGGTGTTCACCAGTTACATACACCCACAAGCTGAAATGTGTAGATGCCTGCATGCAGGATGAAATCAGCCCAAGGATTATATGAAGAGGTATCTCCAGCAGGCTAAAATTACTCTTCTCCATTCTCACAAAATCTTATTATAATACAAATATACTACTAAAGCTGCTCTCCCACACGAGGATAAATTCATTTAAATGAATACCTATCCACATCAGTATTCATTTCTTGAAACTTGATAAAGAATAATATTTGAAAAAAAGAACAATCTAAAACAAATAAACAGTTACTATATATAAAATAATATACTTTGCAAAAAAATCCAAAAACATTATGGCACACTCAATAAGGAACTATGGAAGCACATATCCAATAAAATAATTACTAATAATTTCTACATTCAAGTAATCAAAACAACTGTTTTTCTATACTATTGCACAATGTATGGCATTATGATGTTCTATATCAATAATAATGATATCTAACTTTTTTTTAACTAAATAATTTGACCTAAATATGTAGAGGATTTTTCAAATACCTCCACAAATAGTTACCATTCTTGTAAAGTCTACATCCATGCATCCATCTGTTTCAGAGCTGTATGTGCTCAGATGATGACACAATTATTAGCACTTTTTTATTTACAGAACTCATAACTGAGATTTAAATGAACTCTACTAAATTACACAATATAACTAGAAGCTCGGGTTAGCCAATGCTGCCAGGGATGGAATGTACGTACATGCCATGTCCGCAGTATTTTTAGTTTACTAATTGTTTACAAAGAGATGGCGCCACAAGAGCATGGTCACCAAGAAGCCAATTATAAGTCCTACTACTGCACCTGATTTCTCTTTTCCCTGATATTTGGCAAGATTGTATTTTATCTTTTGTTGGCATTATCATTTCACTCTTTCATCTTTTATTGCTATTTCAACAGCATTATACAATTATAATGTTCATAGTAATAATAATAACAGTATCTATATTAATAGCATTAGAGACACCTTTCACAAAAAATCAAGAAATGGGGAAGCCAGGTAAGGTCACATTGACCCTCTAAATGACTCCTTAGTAATTGAGCATTTGTGGAGTCACCTATGTGTAAACAAAACTAACGAAACAAAACTACAGTGGACTTGCACGTATAAGGCAGCAGTGGGTTGATTACAATGATGACTGATTACAGTGGTGATTAATTTCCTAAAGGATCTTCATAGCTGCATAATAGTAAGAAAAAAAACTAATGCCTGCCAAAACATATAGACAAAAAGATCATTATTATAACTGAATTTCCAATCCTATATGATTCTATATTTACTCGTTAAAATGAAAGTTTTAGTTTATAAATATAAATGTGTCATCTTGAATTGTGTCATATAATACACCTGCTTTTCAATATTTCTCCATCTGAAACAAACCTCATGTTCTTGATTCTATATTTGCCGGACATCAGACTTTCTAAACACACTGTGAGGAACAATCAATAAATGAAAAATAAATATACATGTGTGATATTATGTTAACAAACTGATCTATATTTCTTTATTCCTGACTTATGAATAGCCTGTCCCAAAAATTAAAAAAATAATAATAATAATAAAAGGAAAACAAAGATTAAGGACTTTAACAAATTCCAGTTTCTGGGACTTAAAGCATTTTTAAAATTACCTTATCATATATATTCATTACCTTAGCATAAACTATCCTGTCCCTGTATCTGGCTTTTCAAAATGTCTGTGACACATCTTCAAATTACTTGGATAAAAGTGGACTAGCTTGAAGTTTACCACCTCAGACTATTAAAAATACTACTTGTAATGAGTTTCCCTAGAAACAGAAATAGTACCACCAGTCTAGTTTCTTTCTCAAGTGGATGTGTAGATATAAACACCTATATAAAATACACAATGTAGGAGGTTTGAATGATGTAATTAACACTGTTCCCTTGAAAACTGATTCAACCTTGTCTTGGAATTCTGAACATAAACTTCATTTTACCAAACAATTACATAACTTGCAAATACCAAAAAAGTTAACCAAAATCAAATCGGAAGAAAAGTGAAAAATGGAAGACTGGGAACATTGACAAAATCTAATTCCTTCAAACTGTTAGGCATACCTAAATATCCTTTAACTTTACTGGCCTTTAAGAGTTTTTTTTCAGAAATAAAATGAAATCCAATACAACAGATGAATCCATTACATGCAAGACACAATTAGTGACAGACTAAACTGTGTCCTTTGTTTACACATGAGAGATTTGGTCTGACACTATGGAAAATTGCAATGCGAGGTTCTACTATAAGTTCTGTAATCACCTGACGACTTACAGTGATTGGGGTCACACATGTGCATACACATCAAATTATCAGATAATATTCACAATAGCAAATGGCAAAAAGTAATATGAAACTGTATAGTAAAAATTAAACAACCTGCTAAGCCTTCTTCGCAAACATTCAACTCAACCCTTTGGTAAGGCATCATCAGTTTATTCACAAATTGCATTGGATTTCCATAGCAATCTTTAAGATTCACACTAGGGACCTCCAGTACCTGGGAAAAGTCTGAGGAATCTTGAGCCTTCCACTGAGTGGTTGATATCCATTTACTTTCCACATTTATTAGCCAACCATATGCTCACATCTTGAAATGCAATTGTATGCAATAGTGTGCAGCATGAGACTTTAACATCAGCTTTTTTTACACTCATGACTCTTTGTTACTGTTTTCAGCCCAAACCAAAGTAAAAATCATGGATTTTTTGCCTGGGGGAATAATGATGAAGGATATTTGTGACTATGCCATAAAGAGCAAACCAGTGATTTTGAGAATATTTTCAAACCAGAATATGCCTCAAATGAACCTCAGCCTATAATCTGTACCAGGGTGCCCTAAAAGGTCTTCAGCTACGGCTTATCACCAGAGAAGCATTCAGAAATCCACACTATACATAACTCAATGGTTCTGGGTAATCATACAAGTCCAATTACTGAACCTATTTGCCTTTAGCTGAAATCCTCTTTGTTTGAGTTGTCAGGAATAGGGTAAACAAGTGATCTGGGTTAACTTGTGATTGATTGTTTGGTGATAAAGCACCTTTAGAATCATCTACCTGTAAAAACAATAATCAAACAAGATGACACACTGGATATGGCATGTATTCTTACCAACCTGTCAACAGGTGGGTTAAATCTGTATGGAGTGAAATTTTACCTTGATGCTTATTCTTGGCTTTTGGATATATAATTAAGCTTATTATATGCTCCCCTGCATGCTCACAAATATCCACAGGCTCCCTCAAGGTAAGAATGCAAGCCTTCTGTAGCTAAATAGGGTCCTTGCAACTTACTCTGCACTATGGTAATAAGGTGTCAAAAGAAATAAAGAAAAAAAATGCTGACCATAATTAACCCCTTGGTGCTGGGTGACACCGATCGGCATGAAAACAAACTGCTCAAAAGCTGGCGTGCAGTTGTACGCCGCGGCGGCGAGCCAGTGATTCAGGCTGATGTCCGCTACTCACGCGCTCAAAGTCGGCACGCCGCCTTTGTTTGCTAGAACGTAGGGTTTTTTTTTTTGTTTTGTACATCCGGCGTCATTGGGTTAAGCAACTCGTCAATCTCTCTTATCGTGTCCCATACAGCAACAATGATTTATACAGTCTAATATATTGGAGCATTTGGTAGTCCGGTAAACACAAACCACTATGGACACAAACCACTATGGACACAAACCACTATGGACACAAACCACTATGTGGAAAAGGCCTGAGAGTTCTCATATTTTCTGTGGTTCTATATGTGGAAATCATTTGTTACAGTATATTTGCTAAGATATGCCTTAAAGATATTGTATACCTTAAAGATATTGCAATTCTTTGAAATAAAGGTCTCTCCTGTATCAATTGGAAGATATTTTGAAAAGTACTAAGACATTTCAAATGAAAGATCATTCATTCTAGAGCAGATTACCTTGAAACATGATTAATTAGTACACAACATAATATCTCTCCTTAGTAAAGAAATCTCTTCCTTATTGTATATATATACATATTTGCTTATGAACTATAAATAAAGATCAACACCTCATTTTCTTACTTTTGATGTTTTAGATATGACTTAAGATCAGCTGCAGTAATTGAAAGAAGCTGCAAAAAAATCACTCCAACCATGGCTTTGGTACCAACTTAAAAAGTAAACCTATATAAAAGAAAGAGAAGAAAAATGTATTTTCTTTTACTGTACAAAATATTTTGGAGTCCTGATCAACAGGTAATAATAATATATCTAATAATTTCTGTAAGCTGCCCATCAAAATATATTCAAGATCAAAGATAGAAAGATAAAGGCAACATAGCAAAACTATATAAAAAAGTAGAAACTACATTCACCCCTGTCATCTAAGCCTCACAAGAGACCCCAGTGCCTTTAGGTAAGCACTGTGGATCTTCCCGCAGTTTGTGTTGGTGGTTTTGATGAGATAACGCTGCATTGGGTAGTATAGGTTCTGCCTCAGATCATCACCAAGTTTATACTGGTTGGAAGAAAAAAAATGTGGTGAATATCATTATTTGTAAAAGTAGTGTACATTTTTGGTAAAATGAAATATCTTTCCTTTTATTTACAGTACATTGTTTGATAATAAGCAGATTTCCCAGCTGTTTAGATACAGAAACGAACTAATACTCAATGAAAATCATATTGAAAATCATCACTGCACATTCTACAAAGTCATAACACTTATTCTTTTCCTTTTAAAATATTGTTGCTCTATTTACACAATGTAAAATATATCATTAGATTGTTCTTATCATCCTAATACAGAACTACAGTACAAACTGACCTCCTCCCATGCACGATACACTGCTCGAAAAGCTGGTTGTTTGTCACTATGAAAAGTTCCTCTGTTTCCATGCAGGACAAAAACTCCATGCTTCTCAGCTGCTTTGCATACACTCATGTACATACAATGATCTGGTCGAAGGTTGTACTCACAGCCATAAACATAAAGCTTGTCTGAAATTGCAAGAAATTATGGCATACTAATGTTTAATAATTTCAAAATATAGATTAGAAACTCAGTCAAGTATAAATCCAGCCAGCAATGAGTCTATCAGTAGGCCCTAGTAACCGATCCTGATTTCCAAATTCCTTGAATTGGTGGGAAAAGGTGATTTTCTTAATACAGTTGATATCAATTGTTATTTTTGTTACTGATGTTATGATTATTAAATTGTTATTAAAACCTTGGTAACATTTAAGACAATGAAATGATGCAAAAGACTTTCTAAAAGTCAAGGAAGAGGGTAAACAGGTGAGATAGGTGACTCCCTAGTGAATAAGCACTTGTAGAGCCATCTATGTGTAAATACATTAAATAAACTTATATTACAGTGGGCATTGCATGTAGTCTTGCCATACGTGCCCATTAGGTTAACCATAATTCCTCTCATAAAATACTGGGCTACTTACAATGCTCGTTCAAACACATATTTATCAAATATAAGGAAATCATGTATTCTACACCCAATATCCACAAGCTTTATTACTTTGGTGACACTTTCTTATGGATTCCCCTCTAGTTGAATCTGTCTTTAATATTTCTTGGGATCTATATTCTAAAAGCAGTGGTTCATTACCTTTTAAAGCAATCTGAAATTTTGTTCCTGCCTATCAGAGTAACTCATACTCTCACAATTGCTATCAAAATATTTAATGTCTATCTAGAATCATGGAGTAAGAAAGTATCAAAACTAACATTAGCCTATATATCATAACCAATTAACTTCCAGGCAACCAAATCTTTAGTTGTGACTAAAGCTTGAGAAAGGGTGGTTTTTGTAAATTTAATTACAGTAAAATTATGCCTACAGGATGATACTTACATATAATAATTTATACCATAACATTCTTTAAACAGAACAACATGACATGTACATGATTTTTTTATGTATGGCAGTTATCTCTACATCCCAGGATAAACAACAGGGGGAAGAATTGCCATGCACCATGTGAAAGGATGCTTTGTTCTTTCTTCCATGAGTTTAGCTGATCTTGAAAAACACATTTGAAACCAGCCACTTTTCTTATAAATGCACAAATTAAAGTTCTTTCCTTTTTTCTTTTTTTTAGGGGCGGGCGGGCTGTTCACTGTTCCACTTTAATACATGTCAGCTAATTTTAGCTGCAAGACAATGAAACTAAAATATTCTAATGATTTTCCCTTCTAACAAGTTCTTCATTATTACAGAAGGCATACTTAATCATCTGAATACAAGGTAACAAAAGTGCCTCTTTACGTCTTGGTAACATCAAAAACAGACTCTCTCAGACTATAATACAAACAGAATTTGTATATAATAACACTATCACCATACTCAAAAGCTTACGACTTTCCTAACTGTTAACTCCTCTAAAGACATGTGATCTGGTAAATTGTGGAACTCACCTGAATGATAGTGAAAGATAATATTAATGATGTCTTGGTCACCCCATGTTATAGCCAGCTTGTAGTGCTTGTAGATTGGAACAACATACTCCTCCCACCCAAATTTTCGGAGTCTTGTAAGGTTCATCAGCATTACTCCCGAGTTCACACCTGTCATCACAGGGAATATATTAAATATTGGAATAACATTATCAGTATCTTATGCTTTTGAAGTGTATCTAGAACTTTTAAATACATCCAAAATAATAGGTTAGTGACACTGGCCACTGTGCTATAATTCAAGATGTAAATGTTGAATCCAAAATATTTATTGTCAAATTCAATTCTTTATCAACTTGAATGCATGTATACTTGTATATCAATTGCATATATTTATCCTGTCCTTATTTGGAACAAGGCTGGGAAGGTCATAGTTGCAGTAAGTTGTCTATTGTGCAAGATTATTATTATTAGCACAGAAAGTAACTGAAAGCTCACCTAATCTACCATAGTAGGGATGCTTGGCAAACCGGTTATACCAGCCAGTGGCTAAATCTTCATGTTCTGGAGCCATTGCTGCCATGTGTGATGAATTCATGGCACTAAAGTGTTTCCAAAGCTCTTCTAAAGGTGCAAGGAACATCACATCTGTGTCTACATACACCAGTGCATCCACATCCTTTAACAAGGACTGAAAACAGTGATAAATAATTACTCTCAAAAGTACTAGGATATCAATAATGCAAAATACATTTACCATACATACACAAATACATTTCTATTTACTATTCTGCCTGACATGGTTCTGAATGTGTGAATATACGTGTCCGGTGTGTGTGTATGTATGTATGTATGTATGTGTGTGTGTGTGTGTGTGTGTGTGTGTGTGTGTGTGTGTGTGTGTGTGTGTGTGTGTGTGTGTGTGTGTGTGTGTGTTTCTGTGTGTGCGTGTGTACATGTGTGTGTGTGTGTGTACATGTGTGTGTACATGTGTGTGTGTGTGTACGTGTGTGTGTGTACATGTGTCTGTGTGCGCGCGTGTGTGCGTGTGTGTGTGTGCGTCTGTGTGCGTGTGTACATGTGTGTGTACATGTGTGTGTGTGTGTGTGTGTGTGTGTGTGTGTGTGTGTGTGTGTACATGTGTGTGTGTGTGTACATGTGTGTGTGTACATGTGTGTGTACATGTGTGTGTACATGTGTGTGTACATGTGTGTGTACATGTGTGTGGGTGGGTGTACATGTGTGTGTGTGTGTACATGTGTCTGTGTGCGCGCGTGTGTGTGTGTGTGTGTGTGTGTGCGTCTGTGTGCGTGTGTACATGTGTGTGTACATGTGTGTGTGTGTCCATGTGTGTGTGTCCATGTGTGTGTGTCCATGTGTGTGTACACGTGTGTGTGTGTGTGTGTGTGTGTGTGTGTGTGTGTGTGTGTGTGTGTGTGTGTGTGTGTGTGTGTGTGTGTGTGTGTGTGTGTGTGTGTGTGTGTGCTTCTGTGTGTGCATGTGTACATGTGTGTGTGCTTCTGTGTGTGCATGTGTACATGAGTGTGTACATGTGTGTGTGGTGTGTGTGTGTACATGTGTGTGTACATGTGTGTGTACATGTGTGTGTACATGTGTGTGTACATGTGTGTGTGTGTGTGTGTACATGTGTGTGTGTGTGTGTGTGTGTGTGTGTGTGTGTGTGTGTGTGTGTGTGTGTGTGTGTGTGTGTGTGTGTGTGTGTTGTGTGTGTGTGTGTTGTGTGTGTGTGTGTTGTGTGTGTGTACACATGTGTGTGTGTGTGTGTACACATGTGTGTGTGTGTGTATGTGTACACATGTGTGTGTGTACACATGTGTGTGTACACATGTGTGTGTGTCTGTGTATGTGTGTACACATGTGTGTGTGTGTACACATGTGTGTGTGTACACATGTGTGTGTA